CAGATACCCCGCAGCGCAAAAAGGCGTTATAGCCAGGGGGTTACATCAATAAATGACGTACATCTCCGTTCGCACACACAATACAACTTTGTTCACAGATAAATAACTGAAATACATTTTCGTTCACACAAATAGTAGAATTTGGTTCACAAATCAGTACATCTTCGTTCAGGTTACAACACGGGTTTACAGCAGTGAATAAAATATACCTTCGTTCCCACTATTTACTTGCATTTCAGTTAGCCTGTTCCACTGTTTAATCGTTCTAGGAAAGAATGAATTGGCATACATGTTCGTTTTAGCTGGGTATTCCCGAATTTTTCAACTATGATCAAAACGTTTTGAAGTGTAATGAGGGTTGTGTAGGTATATTTCTCTAATAATTCCAGTTTTATTGTAGTAAATGCAGTAAAGAAATTTTAATCTCTGCTTCTGGCGGCGGTCAGAAAGACACTCCCATCCTAGCTCAGCTTTCATTGCAGTGCAGCTCTTCCCCCTTCCATACCGTCCAAAGACGAACCTGGCAGCACGATTTTGTAATTGTTCCAGAGCAGCAATGAAGGTTACCTCGGTGGGGTCCCACACGACACAACCGTATTCTAAGATCGGTCTGATACAAGTAGGTATGCCATACGTTTTAAATTCACATGCTAACATCGCAGGTTTCTTTGAAGGAAATTTAAGGTCATACCAGCTTTGGCTATGAGAATGTCAACCTGAGGCCTCCATGAACATCCAGATGATAGTATTATACCTAGGTACTTATATGTACTCTCTTGTTTCAACTGTACATTGTTCAGATGGTACTGTGACTGAAATGGTTTCATCTTTTTGGTAAATGAAATATGTACACACTTTGTTATATTGAAATTCATTTTCCATTTGGTACACAAGCTATGAATGAGCGATAAGTATTTCTGAAGTTCTAATACATCATTGTGATCAAACATTTTTCTGTACACAACGTAGTCATCCGCAAACAACCGTATAGAAGATGAAAGTCCTGCAGAGATATCATTAACATAAATTAAAAACAATAGCTGACCCAGGACAGAGCCTTGTGGGACCCCTGAGGTAACATCTGTGTATTCGGAGCATTTTCCATTCAGTACTACGGTTTGTGTTCTTTGGGAAAGGTAACATTCGATTCGTTTAAAAACAGTCTTATCAATGTTCAGGGTGGTAAGCTTAAACAGTAAGAGTGAATGTGACACCGTGTCAAACGCTTTCTGAAAATCCAAGAACACACCGTCAACCTGTCCTACAGTATCTACGCCCGATATTACATTATGATAAAATTCGACTAATTGTGATGTGCAAGACAGCCCTCTGCGAAATCCATGCTGCTCGTTGATTAGTACCTTATGCTTGTTTAAATGAGTTATTATTTCTTTGTATAAAGTATGCTCGAGGATTTTACACGGGATAGACGTAAGCGATATTGGTCTATAATTACCAACGTCTTTTTTAGACCCACCTTTATGTATCGGTACCACGTGCGCAATTTTTCAGTCATGTGGTAAAGTACCTGTCGCTAAAGATCTTTCAAAAATTGCATAAAGATACATAGAAATTGACCCCGCTCAACGCTTGAGTACACGCGGAGAAATTCCATCTGGACCACTAGATTTACTCTCGTCAACGTCCTTCAGCAGTTTTTAAATTCCATTAACACTAAGCTCGACATGAAGCATAGGCGAAATGCTTATAATGATTTGATGATTATTACAGCTGGGTTTGGGTAAGAATACCGAGTGGAAAAAGTTGTTTAGGCATGCAGCCTTATCCTCGTCAGTCGTAATTACCGTGCCGTTATTATTTAACTCCTGTCTTCCAAAGGAATCTGAGCCACACTGTTTTAATTACTTCCGAAACATTTTAGGATTTGATTTCATTTTGTTGCTCAGCTCAGTGAAGTAATCATCTTTAGCTTTTACTATCTTTAGCTTATATTCATGGGTAATTGACTTCAATTTTTCAATGTGAGCAACTGATTTGTTTTTCTTAAATGCGCCTAATGCCCTCTTCCTTTTGTTGATAAGTTTTAATATATGTGCTGTTACCCATGGTTGTTGGTGCTTTTTTAGCCGTGAGGAATTAACACTGCGGATATGTCCATTTGTTAACTCGGAAAATATATTCTTAAATTTGTCCCACATATCATGCACATTGCCCTCCTCAAAAAGACATTCGAAAACAGAGAACAAATTACGAAGTTTTTTTAGAAATCGCATCGTAGTCACCCGTGTCATAAAAGTAGATCCTTCTACTCGTAGGTCACTTCGCACACACTTTCTTTCGGATACAAGCAACAACAGCAAGATCGTCACTAATTCCTGGAATCACAGTCCCGTCATTTACGAAATTTGGCGAGTTACAAAACAACAAGTCTAACATAGCGTCATTGCGAGTAGGTGTGGTAACGTACTGCGTCAAACCAAACGTGTCGACGATATTTTTCATCGCAAGGTTCATGCGCCCGCTTACACTTATACAGAAACCATTACCCCAGGATAAGCCAGGCAGATTAAAATCTCCCCTAGGAGTATTGTCCGGGCTGACGCTTCAAAAAGAATTTCATCTAATGTTTGCACTATGCTAATATCTGAGCTCGGCGAGCGATAAACCACTCCGACCAAACACGCGAAGTTATCCGGCAGTATTATCTTGCACCATACAGACTCCAGTGCGTCGCACTTATAATACACTTCAAATGACTGTAAGCAAGAACGAACAAGTAAAAAAACGCCACCACCTGCTGTGAGCCTATCGTTGTGATAGACGACGAATTTTGCGCAAACACCTCACTATCAGCAATCGAGGGCTTTAGCCAGGATTCTGTGCCAAGGACTATATCTGCGTTAACACTCTCAATTAAGCCCAAGAGCTCAGCAACTTTATTAACTACGCTTCGGCAGTTCACGATGACGGCAACAAGTTCTTGACATCGGTATTTCTCCTTTTTTCTAGTTTGTCATTGCCTGCGTACTGGGACGACCTCTTCTTTTTCGTCATCCCATCTGAAAGCCCTGCCGTTAATAATCAGTTTGTCAGAATTCAGCTTCACTTTATTGTTCTTATCCTCTCTTTTTGTCTTAGCATATTCCCACATGCAGCTTATTCCCACGAAGCCATCGTGCTAATCCCACGAAGCCATCGTGCTGAGTGCCTATATACGCCTGATCGGCACCACGTGAGTTCTGTTGGCGCAAATTGATTGGTTGATCCTCGCTAATCTATCCGTGGCCCGGGCCACACGTGCCTCTGACGACATATGATAACCCATGCACACGTGTGGATGATAGTCGAGATACTGTAGATGCTGACCAGGGATCAGACAAAAAGGGCTGTGTCCTGCGTTCCGCTGCATCGAAGTGGGTCGCAGAAACCAGCAGCCGAGGTACCTGCACCAGCAACAGTTGCATCTGCGACATGTCGGCAAGTGTGCCGGCTCCAAATCCCCAAATGATACATTTATGTTAACATTATTACTCACACTTAAATCTGTCAATGTGTGAATTTCTGAAAGTTTTTATTTCCAGTTGATATGCACGAGATAATTGCTATTTTCACCTGATAAAGTTTTTGGAGTTAATTCCATGATGACACCGTTATTACGGTCACCACGAATGCTCCTCAATTATCTCATTATCCGTCTTCTTAACTACCTCAAAGGGAACAACAACCTATTGTTATGGCACCTATTTTTTAGCACAATGAAAAGCTTAATAGTCAGAGTGTCTAATCACAGAATAGTAACAAGTGAAATGCTGTGAAACATTTGTTATAATTCCTTTCTATCTCCGGTGAATTGGCGGTTGGAGATGCACGTGACAACACATGCCTCAAACAGTGAGCGCAAGAGTGGTTCGTGTCCGAGCAAGGCAGTACACTGTGCATGTGCACACTCTATGCGCTTACGCAGCAGCTTAACAAGGGGCACTGGCTGCTCAAAAGGCAGCACCGCTTCTCACCGTGCAACTCTTTTTACCCAGTAAATGAAACACAGAATAGAGTAGGCTTTGTTATACGTGCTGTAATTTTGATGATGGCATGCATGATAGCATGGGAATATGCAACTGCATACAGCAGGATTAGACTCAAGAATCTAGCTGCGAGGGGCTTATTCTGGGCTGTCGGACATACCTGTTTTTGGGTGCTTTTAAAAAAGTATTCAAAATTTAAATCCTACTTACAATGCGAAAAAGCTGCTGTAGTCTGTCACTATTGTCCTGTTTGTTTTTTTTTATTTCTGCTTGGATGTAGTCACATTTCTACTGGTTGTCGGTCCCATCAAGTAACTGCATTAACAAATTTGCAAACGATGTGCTGCAACAATGCTTTCTACCGTTTAGGGTCACTCGTGTTGTTCAGCCTGATTGAAAGCAAATATGCACCTATTTCAGGGTGAAATGTTAGGGAACTTGTGTAACTAACATCACTAAAGAGGCACTGGTTTTTGATTTCATGTGTTTTAATATTTTCCATCTGTACAAGGTGACACAGTGATCCCAGCGGCTTCACTGCTGCGTAGCATGTATGCAAGGAAGAATGAAGACACTGCAAATGATGTGGACGATCCAGACACCCGCTGCCATTTTGACTAGCCCTTATCAGCTGAGGCACAATGTGTGTAAAAATATTCGAGTTTCAACATAATTCACTATAACAAAGAATTGGTGAGGCACTTATATACATTTTTGCCAGCATACCTTGAAAACCTGTAAAAGCCGTTGTTAGGTAAAACTGCCTTCACTTATTTTGCACAGCAGTGTTCCTGTGCATGTGGACAGCGTGATAATCTGCCATATCTTCTGCATTGTTCTTATCATCTATATAGCTCACCGCATAACACTGCTTTGTTTTTGCTGTTGTTGATCGAGCATATGCAGCCATACCATCTCGTAGCACTGAATGGATATTTTTAATGAATAAATGTCCTCGCTCTCTGTTGTGATAACTTCCGCAGACACCATTGGCAACCGCTAGAATGGTGAATATTTTTTCCTACGTTGTTTAATTAATACTTCAGCAATCCTACTGGTGCAGGTGTTTTGTTGCTTCGTGTCACCCTGCTTAATGCAATGAGCCACTAAAGGTTCAAAGCCACTAACGGGGTCCATTTTTCTAGCTCTCAACATGAGTGCAGCTGGCATGGCTGATGAGCGAACCCACACGCCAGCAACAACTGTTGATGAGCCACCAACAACTGTTGATAGGCCCTCAACAGAAGTTCGTGGCAGCCATACACCATCACCAGGTATATTATTATTGTTGTTTCCTTGTCATGTTTTAATAGCAATTATTAGTGGGTTTTTATGTGCCACGTAAAATTTACTGATTTTTTTTTTGGTTGTGAGCACAGCTGATAGCATGATGAATACTTGGGCAAGTATACTGGTGTAAATGTGTTACTTTTCGTAATGTTGCCTAGTGTAACAAGCCAATTAAAGGCTTACTTAAAATTATGTCATCACTTTGAAGAGTCCCGTATGTGACAATGATGAGGTCAATTTTTCCAGAGCCTGAGCTAACACCTGGCACGGCCAATGAGGCAAGCCACACGCCAGCAACAAGTGCGGATGGGCCTTCCCAAGCCACTCATAACCGTACACCATTGCGAGGTACATCATTTTGTTAACTTTATATCCCTGTTTGTTATGTTTTCAATAGCTACAACTTGTGGGATTTCGCTTGCAAAACCCACAATATGAGTATGAGGCGTGTTGTAATGTACGTACTCGGCATTAATCTTTACGACTTTCAGTTCTCTTATGTCAACCTCAGTTAAGTACATGAATGCCATTGCATTTCGCACACACTGAAATGAAGCCACAGCGGCCGAGAATTCAACCTACAGCCTTGGATTAGGCAGTTCAACAACTAAGCTTGTTTTGTGTTTTGTTTGTTCTCTTATAAAGAAAACAGACAGTATTTGCGAAGAGCATGCCACTGCTGCCAGTATGATTATCAGCATTTAATGATTCATGATGCAATTCATGAAACATGACTGCCTGTTGACATATGGATACTTTTTGCAGCTTCTGCAGAAATTATATTCGATGTGCCATAATGTGAGGCCATACAGAGACACAAGTATTGAATGCCACTTGGACATATTTTACAGGAATCTTTTAGACACTTCCATTATTATCAGATGTACAGTGATAGAACTGCATTTTTACTTTTTGGAGCATACTTTGGAGCAGCCATAGTTGTTTACGGAGCAGAAAAAAATGGTAGTTCAGAGCAGCTATCGGTGTTTTAGAAGATAATAAATTTGCCATACATTAGTACCAGCTCGGAGCATTGTCGAATAATCTCGATAGTATTATTTCTGATTAAACATATTTAACACACAACAGTCATTATAAATTAAATGTATCGTACAATAGCAGATTGCCTAAAATATGCTGTGCAATAAGCTGCAATTTAAAATACTACCATGTGTGGTAGTTATGAAATTAAACTGGAAAAGCTGAGCACCACATTTTAGAAGTAACCACAGTCCCATATAACTGTTGCCGAATAAGCAGTAGATAATCGGCATCAGATAAAAGCAGTCCTGCTCATTTTCAAATTTCACCATAGTAGCCTGCATGTCTAGCTGAGAAAAAAAAACCTACGAGCTGTATGCTTCATATGCCAATTGTTGTCACACATGTGAGATCAGAGCCAATAATGCTGCCCACTAGTAACACACTGGGATGGTAGTACGCAGATTCTTTTTAGTTTCTTTAAGACTTGTGTGTCGGTCAAACAGTAAAAGCTCAGCATTCTCATACTCTCAGTGTCATCTGAGAGCAGGTTTTAAGCAATTAGTAACAAAGAATACACTTCGGAGCAGCATTTCTCTTTTGGAGCAGTTTGTAGCAATTGAAGCAGCACTTTCATCACTGCGTGTCATTAAGCAAGCTGTGCTTTATGCAATGAGCAATACTGGACTCCCCAAACATAAGCTGATTTCGTGGTTACAATTAAAATTCACGTGACAAATCAATTTCAGTTAGTGTCTGAAGTGCACATTTTCAGCGGCAGTAGACACAAAGCAATAAACATGACAATCTTGTGTATTTTGAGAACTTTAAACAAATGTGCCACATCCACTACCTTGAGGCAGTGCACGAGCACAACTGGCTGCATCAACAGAACAGACCCCTCGACGACGCACGCCACTAAGAGGTACATAACAAAGTTTTTGCTATATCCAAATGAACCTAGAGCTTAAAGGGCTTATCTGCCATGATGGCACCCAGTAAAGAATTCATTTCATCACAGTAAAGTAATATGTGCCATTGTGCAATCATAGCACCAACTTTGACTTTACTACAGTGTGGTTTTCAGCTCAAGTGCAAATATGGATGCAACAGTCAATCTTTGAAGTCCAGAGTAATATTTCATATCTTATGTGTATATTATTCAGCAGCATAAAGGCCGCTGTGGTAGTTCAGTGGTTAGTGCATCGAACGCGTTATTCAGCAGCATAAAGCGGCCTTAGCTTATTAAGTAGATAATGTATAACGTATTCGCTATAGAAGTCAAAGGCTGTCCAGAGACTTAATGTTTGGTGAACTTTCTGTCGCATAGCTTGTTCCTGAGACATAAAGCCTTGCCACTTTCCAAGGGATTGTAGAGCTGAATAAAGTTACGGAATTTCAATCTGCCACTGCTAGCATAGCAGAACACAAAAATGTATTGAACTAATTTCAGAAATATAATGCAAATTTCAGTAATAAAGCCCGTTCAGCTGAAATGTTGGCTATTCAGATGTGTTCAAACGAAACATTTTTGCACAAAACAGATTGAAAAACAAATGGGGTTTCCTAAAAGCATAATTAATTCTTAGATGTTTGTAAAAGTTTTGTTTCTAAATCCGAGCGTTTACTGTATATGGTACTGAGACCCCAGCAAGAGTGCTCGTCTTCTTCAGCTGATGCTAGATTGTCAATGCTTGTCAGGGGGCTACTTGGTTTGCAAGCACTGTAACGAAAAAACAGTGCAAGAAAACAGGGACACACTGGGCACACAGATGAGCACTGACTCACAACCGATCTTTATTTTTTTATTTGATGCAGTGCATAAATATATATACCATACACATGAAAATAAAAAGCTGTTCAACAACTCTTGCTTTCGTGCGCTCATAGTGAACACTTATTCACACAAACAATACAAATCTAGAAATTCCATTTTTTTCTTTGATGACACCATGCTAACACAAGCACCTTCCTTTTTTTTTTATGTGTGTAGCTTTGATGATTAATGTATTCACTTTGTCTGACGAGCAGCTAAGCACTGTCGTATCTTTCAAGTATGGAATGCTCCACAATCTCAGCAATGCAACCAGGGTGTATGCAGAATTTTATGTCAGTGTGTGTCTGTTGGGGGGCGGGGGTGAGTCTCCACCTAAATCTGAAGGGCTGACCAGGCAGGCAAAGTTTTCGCCAAAGGAGGGTTGTATCAATTGATTTCAGGAGCCAATCTTTCAGTTTGCTTGAAGATTACAGTGGCAAAAATTTTATTCAGTATCCCTTTATGTACTTCAGTATGCCAAGTCCAATGTTTCTTGTTTACATATTTTTGCAGCAGGGAGAAGCCAAAATGAGGCAACGCTGGCGTTTTTGGAGGCCAGGTATAATCAAGACGTAGAAATGCGCCTCCTCAGCTACCAGATCGACAGAAGAAAGCTGGACCTCAAAATTCGCCAGCACGAAGACAACATGAAGCTGCTACACCAGCGACATGCCGACGACGTCAGATTAAGGGAAGCGGAAATGGAAATGAGAAGGATGGAAATGGTGGCAGTACTTGAAGAGAGGCGTGCTAACGCAGCAAACCAAGCATCTCAACTTCGGTTGATCAAAGAACTCAGTGAGGGAAAAAAAGAATAAACTATAATATCAATAGTGTGATTGCTAAAAACGAGTGAGTATGCATTTCTTTAAAGTTGCTATGTATTGAAGAAGTCCCTCCAACGACACTTCAAAAACCTGCAACCAATAGAAGTCACTGTCGGGGACAGAAAGTGGTTACGACTACCTTATGTTAACATGATATGTGGGGTTTAACGTCCCAGAACCCCCATATAATTATGAGAGACGCTGTAGTGGAAGGCTCTAAAAATTTCGATCACCTGGGGTTCTTTAATGTGCACCCATATTTCGACACGGGCCTACAGCATTTTCGTCTCCATTAAAAGTGCAGCCCCCGCAGCCATGATTCGATCCGCGACCTGCGGGGCAGCAGCCGAGTACCTTAGCCACTAGACCACCACGGCAGGGCACGACTACCTTATGTTTATTGTGCGTCATGTCTCCTATCTTTCTCTGAGCTCCAGAAATATCAAAATACATTGTGCACTATAATTCATTAATTGTTGGTGCTGCTGTGTGTATTGGTATGCGTTCAAGCTATTTCATGTTGTCACAGGAATCGTCATTAGTAAAGTTGCAACGTGCACCTCCAAAACTCTCTCTTTGGTAGCCATACAAACTAAAACGAACACAATAGCTCTAGGTCTGTTCGATTTACCTGCACCACTTGAAATCGGTTCACGGCTGTGCACGCAAAGTTCAGAAATTGTGCTGTGCGAGTTCAGCAGTGCTGGCACAGCGCAACACCTGAAACGAATGACGAGGTGCCGACAAGTTGCAGGCTTTATTTCTGTTTGCTGAATTCACATCGTTAAGCTAACACTGAACTATGGCGAACTGCACATGAGGACGTGCTTACACGATCCCTACAGGATCACTTGTAAAACATAACATTCCATTAATGAAAATAAAATGTTATACTTTTTGAACTGACACAGAAAAGCCTCTCTGTAAGCTGGCTGTGCAATCCAATTTTATTGTGATAGTTAAAAAATGCACATATCTTGAAATGGTTGTACACGTTGGGCAGTATTTCATATATAAATGGTTCGAAAAAAAAAAGAACGAGACTAAGTGCGAACCTTGAAAAGAGTGGAATTGAAAAGAACTGTTTTACTGACATCATCCCCCACCCATCGTCTATCCATGTGGCCAGTTTGGGCTTAACACCAATCACACCAGTTGTGAGTGCAGTGCCATAAAGAAACACATGCAACTGTGTACTGAAAAAAAATATATGTAATGTAAAAACTGAACTGAGGCTCAACATCAAGTTTCTTGTGAAACTTAAAAAATCTTCTATGAAAACATGTCGAATGTAAGTGAGGATTATAGAGATGAAACGTCTGATGCATGTGTGTTTGAATGGCGTAAGTGGCTTTCAGGGGAAAGTAAGTGTGGAAGATGATGAACATTCTGTGGGCTTAAGGTCAGCGATTACAGATCAAAACATTTCCAATGTTTCCGGCTGATATGTGGTGACCGGAGATTAAGTGTTCATGCAGTAGTTCTTACAGGAAAAGCTGTTCAACGCATTTTAAAGGAGCATTGCCACTCAATGTCAAACTACTTGAGATGCGGCGTTCATTCGATTCTATTTCTATTTTGAGCGCAAAGAGCGTCCAAAGGCTCAATGGCGCAATCAAGGCCAGGAGACATCGACAGTATTTTGTAGTGTTCAGCAAGCTCGTAAGCCATGCCTCAGGCACTGAGCGACTTCGAGCAAGCAGCGATGACGTCATGCCTAGCAACGGCTTCACGTGCTTTGTTTTGCTCTGTTCACAGCGCGTTCGTGTCAGTTCTGCGTTTTTGTGATTCCGCTTCAGGTGATTTATCATGGAGCTGTGAGCGTCGACTTGGTAATTTCAAGCTACGATCATTGCGAGGTAACAATCACGCAGCGTTCGTATGTCTTACCAGCCAGCGTAGCCCAAACATGCGTTGCCAGCTGCCTCATCGCTGCTCAGTCCAGCGTTGTATGCAGAATTACAGCTCAGAAGAGGACAGAACTGAGAATGATTTGCCATGCCACGATTCCATATTCCTCAATTTTTCTATCGTTGCTAGTGAATGTTGATGATGGAGGTGAGAAACAATGGGGGTGGAAAAGGCATGCCCATACATGTGCACGCTGAGCAGAGGAAACGTCAACGGAAACTGGCGCCCACTCATGTCCACCCATCCACTGATGCCGTCTTATTATTGCCTTTTTTAGCCACTAGGTTTTGGGTTCTGGCACTGCAGTGCTGCCGTCACACTGGAGAACTCGACCACATGGTACAGCTCTATGCCAATGAGAACTGTCCATAATCTATTATTAAACAAAGCATTATGGTACCTATATATATGTTAATGGCAAGAGCACAATCATAAATAGGTGCAATAGCCAGAAGAGCAGCACACCCACTTTATTTGCTTAATTTCGCTTGATGTTTTTATTTTTATTTGTGAAAGTTAAATATTGCTGAAAGGGAACCTATCTTTGGCTCAGTTGAAGAGATTCAGTCAAAATAAAGAATCTCCTGAAGGGCCTCCGAAAAAACGTCATCGCAAATCTATCACCAGCCATAATAGCACTGTATTCAGAAGTGTGTTAATACTGAATGGGGACTACTTTGAAGGTGATAATGTTAAGGAAGACTGTTTTTGCAAGTACAAGAAATTATTGTGCACGCTCATGTTATTCTTTTTTTCGGCCTTTGTAGCCTCTTTAAATCATGACATGAGCATCAAAGCTACTACAGTCAAAGCCCGCTACAATGAAACTGCCAGGGCACGGAAAAAATTTCTTTGTAGTAAAATAAAAAAAATATAGCTGATCTGAGCTAGCAGAATAAAGAAATGTTTATTTTCAATATTTAAAAAAAAATGCCCGCTGCTTCTTATTTTTTCCCAGCAGCGACACGATTTCTGATACGAAACAACACCTGAAATCACCTTAGTGAACGAACCAAACAGTTGCATTAACACATTAACACCAGCAGCTGTCCACCATCAAAAGTATTCGACAATGCTGAGATATAGGCAGGGTATCGTGGAGCGGCGCCTTTTGCATTATTCTATACCATTCTTATCATCCATCACTCGCAGCTAGCTGATTTTATTGATAATGCAGACAAACAGCCGCTCTGATTAGTTACCACACTGGCCAAGCACGAACATAAAGTTAAGCATTGGAATCGGAAAAGGCATCGTTCCGAGGTTGCACCCAGCAGCTGCGTGGAGGAAACCATGAACTGAGCTTCAGCTTCGGATTGTCTGCGGCTCAAAAGCAAACCAGTGGCAAAAGCAGCGCTAGAGTGTATTAGCAGGGCAGTCTCATTACCACCGCTATCGAGCAATGGCGGCGCCCATGCTCGCTGAACAGCCCCGGTCCTTGTGGTGCCAACGTGTGTTTTAGACTTCGTTGACGCATTTTCAGGCTCTGAATGTGCATCGAAATGTTAAAGATTGGGTTTAATTACTGCATAGCAATGAGTATCTGAGCCTCGAATCGCATCGCAAAATTGCGTTGAAGTGGTACGATTAAAGAAAAAGTGTTCGTGGTGGCTACAATCCTTATGCCTTGATTCCTATGGACCACTGACGGGGAATAGTTAATTTTTCGTTGAAGCGGCATTCGTTCTAGCGGAGTTTGACTGTACAAGATATTGTCATGATAATAGAATGAAAGTCAATTAAGTCCCAGTTATCAACAAGCCAGTTAAAATAGAGCCGAACGTCTTGGTTCTCTTCTACTAGCTGCAAAAAACAAAACTCGGCTACGCACAAATAGCAAACTGTCTTGCACAACACACAAGGATCCATTGTATGCTCATGTCAGTGTGCTAAGCTGGCATCTCAAACGACACAAGGTATTTTCTGAGGGTGGGCAGAGTAACATCAAAATATGTAGACACTTGGCTGCCATACATGCAAGTAGGGCAGTTTAAGAACAATGTTGCAACTTTATACATCCGACCCACCCTCTGCCGAGTTATCTTCTGGCCTTTATAAAAATCAACGAAGGCACAGTCTGCAACGACTCTGCCGACGCCTGCCGCACTGAGCTCATGCTCTTATTGATGTTAACCTCATGGGGACGCAAAAAAGCACCTCCAAAAGGCTTGTAGAGCAGTGCCCGGAGTGGGTAGGCGGGGTCTCCATATATTACATATGTGCGGCCTTGAGTAATAGTCTCCAAGTTGCGGTAGAGGGCAGTCTCCTTTAGGATACCTGCGGAAAAAAAACTGCTTAACAATACTGAACATTATATGGGATAATCAGCCATGGTATCCTGCTACAGAAACAGTAGACTTGAGCTTGCAGAGAAGAATGAGTGGTTCAACAGTGTTATTAAACTAGTCCCAACAAATTTAGTGTAGTAAAGAGAACATGCTGAACTGCCAGTTTCAGATTTACTCTGCTAGTTGTGGAGCTATCTTTGGACTGTACCAGCTGCTTGACCGCACACCTGTGCTCCATCATGGTGGTGTGTCCAGTTAACGCTTACAGACACAGGACAGTGAAGAGCATGGCAAGGTGAAAAAGAAAAAAACTGTGACCATGAGACAAACAGGGAAGCAGCATATATCCTGTTATGTTCTCAAGATATGACTGAATATGTGAAATTGAAAAGGGTAGAGGGCTGTTGACCTCTAAGTGATTTTTCGTAGCAGTTTGACGTTACTGGAAGACAGCAGCTAGTCACTTGCTAGCAGCAGATCCGTATTTAAAAAAAAATAAATGTATATAAGAAGAGGTTCATGCCAATGCGTGGCGCCGGCTACTCCTCTTGCACAAAAGTCGACATCGCACATTTAGTAGCAAACACAAGGCTATACATATAGCCTTGTGCTAAGGCTATACATATAGCCATAGCACAACTTACACAATGAGTGCACATTTTTTCACACTGAGTGTACACACCACACAGAAATGTGTCCACACTACATAGAAATGTGTCCGCATCACACTGAGTTTGTAAAAACACAAGTAATCACGCCAACTTAAGTGTTCACACAAAAAGTGAAAGTTCAATGAAATGTCTAAGGTGATTTTGTCACTTAA